GTTTTCTCAATTTCAGTTTTTGTTATTTAGTTATGTTTTGTTAACCCTGGTGTGTACAGATTATAACACTGTATTCTCAGCTGCGCACATTATTGTGTTGTTTCTGTACTTTACTGTTTGTCCTGATTTAAAAAACAGTTAAGAGTTTAACGCTGRCTGAGTTTGTTGTGACCGAAGTGCAGAAGTCAGACGGTGGAGTCTCTGAGAGACGAGCCGTCAGCAGATTGACAGAAGAATTAGAGGCTGTCGTCTCTCTGAGAGGACGGGCAGATTACAATCAATAATCTATCAACCATGGCCTGACAAGATGCATTGATCAGTGAGGGAACACACACACAGACTCAAACAGTTTCAACACGCTTCATTCCAACAACCTGAAGCTGCAGGAACAAATGTGACAATGTGTCTTTGATTGATCTGGTCTTGATGTCAACAGAAGCTGAGGATAAAAACTTGAAATAACTCCTCATTAAAGCTGTGATTGAAAATAAAACTGTTGCTGCYGATAAAGATCTGATCAGATGTTCCAGTTAAATACGTTTATTCTGCTTTATTTCTAATGATAAGATGGTTCTTCCAGCCTATAAAAGCCCCGGTTCTGGTTCTGGGTCTGGGTCTGAATGGAGCTCCATCAGTTCAGATGTTTCTAATCTCATTTCTGGAACTTCACGGTTTGGATTTAAGCTGTTTTCCTGCTTTCCAACAGCTGTGAGTCTGAGCGCAGCCTCAGATCCTCAGGCAGTCTGTTGCCTCAGATCCTGGACTGTAATTGGATTTAAATGTGGTTATAATAAATCTACAGAAAATACCTCAGATTTTCCCTCTTTAGATTATTCAGAAGCTTCATATTTAGCTCAGATCCAGCTGACATCGGGCCAACACATGACACCAGGCGACAGGCATCATGAAGACCAAGGACCTCTTCATTCAGGTCAGGGTTTGGGTTGGAAGAAGCTTCCTCCACTCACCTGTAATCATGCTGAGATCACCACAGTGAAGCACGGGGGTGGCAGCATCATGATGTGGACGAGTTGTTCATCAGCAGGGACAGGGACAGAGGAGAACCAGTTAAAGGTCCTGGAATGGTCCAGTCAAAGCCCAGACCTTAGTCCAACTGAGAATCTCTGGTTTGTTTAAGTATTGTTGGACACAAGCAGTCCAGAGGTTAGACCCAGATCACAGGTCTGATGGTCGGCCTCATGGTTGTCCCAATGGAGGGCCCGATGGTGGAACTGATGGTTAGCTTGATGTTGGACCTCATGGTTGTCCCAATGGAGGGTCCGATGGTGGAACTGATGGTTAGCTTGATGTTGGACCTCATGTTTGTCCCAATGGAGGGTCTGATAGTTGTCCCAATGGAGGGCCTAATGGTTGTCCCAATGGAGGGCTCGATGGTTGTCCCAATGGAGGGCCGGTGGTTGTCCCAATAGAGGGCCTGATGGTTGTCCCAATGGAGGGCTCGATGGTTGTCCCAATGGAGGGCCGGTGGTTGTCCCAATGGACGGCTCGATGGTTGTCCCAATGGAGGGCTCGATGGTTGTCCCAATGGAGGGCCTGATGGTTGTCCCAATGGAGGGCCTGATGGTTGTCCCAATGGAGGGCCTGATGGTTGTCCCAATGGAGGGCCGGTGGTTGTCCCAATGGAGGGCTCGATGGTTGTCCCAATAGAGGGCCTGATGGTTGTCCCAATGGAGGGCCTGATGGTTGTCCCAATGGAGGGCCTGATGGTTGTCCCCAGTGGTTGTCCCAATAGAGGGCCTGATGGTTGTCCCAATAGAGGGCCTGATGGTTGTCCCAATGGAGGGCCTGATGGTTGTCCCAATGGAGGGCCTGATGGTTGTCCCAATAGAGGGCCTGATGGTTGTCCCAATGGAGGGCCCAGTGGTTGTCCCAATGTAGGGCCGGTGCTTGTCCCAATGGAGGGCCGGTGGTTGTCCCAATGGAGGGCCCGATGGTGGAACTGATGGTTAGCCTAATGGTGGAACTGGTTGTTGGCCCAATTGTGGGCCCGATGGTGGACATGATGGTTAGTACAATGGTGGGCCCAGTGGTTAACCTAAAAGTGGACCTGATGGTTAGCTTGATGGTTACAAAAATGGGATAACCAGTGCTCCAAAAAATACAACATGTTTTAAGGAGGGCAGAAATGTTGATGTTGATATATTTTAAATCAGCGGTCCCCAACCTTTTTYGTGCCACGGACCGGTTGATTGTCAGACATATTTTCACGGACTGACAGGTATGACGGATGAAAACAACAAAATAAAATGATAGCCTACAACCAACACAAGAACTAGTATTTTGTAAATATAATATTAAACGTCAATCCACTGACTGTGTACATGTATGTAACCTTATTAGTAGCATTTTCCTGACATGTGCCAATGACTTTTCCCCTTTGCCTTTGTAAAGAACTTTCCAAAGACGTCTGTTTTCACYGAGACAAGCATCTTGATGCGACAACAGTGAGTCATAGACGGAYGTAACWTAGAGAATCTGGTMGTTTTTCAAAATAAAACATTGTTCAGACTCGAATAATAAATACGACGAAAATAATGTAAGTTATTTATTCTTTCTKTGTGGCCCGGTACCAAACGAGCCATGGACCGGTACCAGGCCACGACCCGGGGGTTGGAGACTGCTGTTTTAAAGTGCTGTTATCCCAGTTTTGTGATTCCTCAGAACCAGGCACCCATTTACTCTCTGTCCTGTTTTGTATTGGAGTTAAGCTTTTTTCTTATTAGCCCAAGGTTAGCCTGATGGAGGGCCGAGTGCTGAAGGTGGAGAAATGTGCATGAAACACTTACGTTTTCAAATTTTTACTTTTTCTGAACAATAATTCCTTCATTTACCTCCATTTGTCTGAGTTTTTTTTGTTTTGTACCTTTAGTACATTTTATCAACAAATTAAATTAAACTGCAGACTTTAAAGCAACATTTAAAATGTGGACCACTGGTTTTTACCTTTTTAGTAATTTATATTTTTTTTATAAGACCATCACTAAACCAAAAACCATTTAAAGTCAGTTTTGTATCATTTCACTCTTAAACCCTTTGAAATCACATTCTGGTGTTGAGTCAACATCTAACTGCTAAAACAAAGTCAGTGATTTAATTGTTGTGTATTTGTTACCAGTAGAGACATATTTGACATTAGTAAACACGATATATAACAGTCTAACACCCAAACACACACACACACACACACACACACACACACACACACACACACACACACACACGCTCAGAGTCTTGGCTCTGGTTGTTGGTGTTGTAGATAATTTGGTAAGATCTGGCAGAAGTGGTGCCAGTAACGAGGGTCTGAGCCTGCAGAGACCAGACAGGAACTAATGACCTTCACACACTCGTTTCACACCAACCATATGTTTCTAAGTGTGTGTGTGTGTGTGTGTCTGTGTGTGTGTGTGTGTCCTGGCGTACCGTAGACGTTTGTCCAAACAGAAGATGATTAAAAACCTCCTGAAGGAGAATCAGTTTGATCAGAATATTCACAGTACAATGGTTCCATGGGTTCAAGGAAAACATTTCAAATTAAAAGTTAAAAGACCCCAAGGGTTTAGRTAATGAGTAAATAAAAACAATCAGAAGAGGAGACTTTTTGGCGAAGGGTCTCCTGCTGGAGCGGGTCCAGCTCCTCCTGCGGAGCCTCCGTCCTCGTCCAGAACGTCCAGGCTCCATATGCTGACAGGACGCTCTGAGCGCGCTCGTTAGCCCCGTGTGCCAAAAGCCCACAGCTCCAAGGTCAGGAGACGKCTCGTTAAGGAGGAGGAGCTGAAAGAGCAGAGCGCTTCTTAACGAAGGGGACCGTGTTAACAAGTCCTGCACTTTTTTTTTCAGCTGCTCTCAGCTTGTTTTGGACCGAAACGACACGAAGACGCTCAGGTCCAGTTGTTCTCAAAGGTCACAGTCAGAACCTCCGTAAACAAAAACAGACCCAAACACTCAGCTGCAAATATTTAAACATTTTAAAGAAAACAAGATTCTCAATAAGCCAACAGAACCTACTTAACTTATTGAAAAAATATAAAATAAAAGTATGAGAATAACTCATGAAAGACACTAAATGTTGAAGAAAATATGGTTTAATTGTCCAACAAAGTAACAAATATTACAATATACCTGCATCAGGTTTAGTTGTGTTAACTTAAGAACTTCAACACTGTTGTATAAAAGTTCTTAAGTTAACACAACTAAACCTGATTAGTTTCATCATTGTGTAAAAACTAGAACGGTTTAAGGCAACAGGTTTGCTCGCAAATTTCTAGTAAAGTCAACAAATTCAGGTTAAAACATTGAAAGCAACACTAAACAATACATTTTAATGTTCCAATACGTTTTATTTTCTTTTTAAACAAAATATTTTAACTATTCATCAAGCTTATCACAAGTAAAATAACCGTATTAACGCAGTCATTCAAGCAAGACGTCCAAAAGTCAAGTAAAGATAGAAATTAAAAGTGTTTGATATAAACTTTGACTAGTTTAAAAAATACAAAAACAGTGGCAATAATTCTTGTGCTGCATTGGCTGAGAAAACTCAGGCAGCAAAATATTTCGTGTTGCTGTTACAGATGAATGAACGAGACGAGGACTGTGTCCATCAATGCTCTCTTATAATCCCTCGAGATTCAGGCCAATAATCCTGTTGAACTCCATGAATACCTGCAAAATACAGATAATGTTCCAGTATCACAAATCAACAGCTGATATCAACCATATTTAGATAGATAGATATATGTGTATATTAGGGGTGTAAGAAAATATCGATACACTGAAATATCACAATATTTCATTTCCTGATACTGTATCGATATTCTAAAGCCCTGTATTGATTTTTTATTAAGGTTTAAAATGTCAACTTTCCTGCCAGCCGTTCATCAGTGTGCATTGCCAATGCAATGCACACTATTGTGATTCGTTTCCCATTCAAGTCATCTCAACTT